TCGAAAGTTACAAAATGGAATGGACAACGTACAACAACTAAAAAAGAAACTATGAAAATGGCTACCAAAACTGAAAAAAAAAAAAGAAAAATACTTGGAAGCAATAAATAGGATAAATTTTTTATATATTGTCAAGGAAAAAAATACGAGCAGTATTAATATGTCTCACATAATCTAATTTTAAATTTAAAATTCATAATATATAAAAATTTAATACTAACAAATAAGGGCTCACAGATCCAAAAGATGGAGTCGGTATTTCTCCAAAATGCAATGCATGGGAATGGATAATGGAAACCAACAGGAGAAAGAGGTAAACCGCATATCCGCGAATAAGCGGAAAAGGAAAAAAAAATTATATGTGTATGGGATTGGATTAGCGCAAATGTGAATTGTCATTTGTCACGCTTTAGGGTTAGTCAAAATGAGCTGCTGGTTCCTATTGAGGAAGCATGTTCTTAAATCTATGTCATGTTATGTTCCAGTAGTTATCCGATGTTAGTATTTTGTATTACTATATAAACACCTTTTACCGAAATTGTCAAGCCAAATTGTGGCAGCTGGTCTCGCCCAAAAGTTGTCCACAGCCTGTAACTTTTTGTGATCTTTAATTCCTATCTTGCAACGTTTTCTTTTTAAACAAAAGTTATCCCTCGAGTAACAGTTCATTTGCATTATCAAATCACTTTTTTAATTTATATAATTTATATTTACCATCATCTTTTTATCTCGTATACGTCGCATTACAAAAGAAATAAAAAAAAAAAACTAGAGTCATAGGATATCTCAAATACTACGTCTGTATATATCCAAAGTGAAACACACAAAATGGGAGAATCTTGTCGTGCTTGGTGGAAAAGGCCAAAGAAATGAAGCACAAAATCCATGGATGCATTAAGTCAATTGTCATCATGATGCTATGGATTGGTTCCCTCAATCAACTGTATTGGTCTATTAACAGATTCGCAATTCTATGCATGCATTGCGTTCTTGATCTTAAGCGATTCTAAATACATTGAATTCAGCGGTTGCTTGCTCTAAAGGGCAGAACTGTGCATGGATTCTGACCAATACGGGGACGTAAATTAGGAAATCAACCTTTTCATTCGGGCATCTAATAGTAATATCACCAGGACATGGACATGTGGTTTTCCAATTACCATGACGGTTCGTGAACAAAGTCCCTTCTAGTATACATCCCCTTTTCACAAGATCATCATCCGTCCGGTACATGAACATTATTATATGCGTAAATATACCTTATTTTGGTGGGGGAAAAAAAAAGCCCAAAAAGTCAAAGACACCGCTGCTTCAAACATTGGATTTCTTGTAACAAGAAAGTTTCTCATGGGGGATAATTTCCACCTTTCGATGGCTAAATTTTCTTTTTTACTGTCATAAATCAAATCAAGATGTGATTGTGTGTTTTTAGTTACCCAATTGACTAGGAGTCGTTTCGGGTGTACGACATGACATTATCAAGATTAAGCTCTAACACTGAAAAGTTTCAGGCTCAATTATATTCGGTACCAGTAACGACCGCACAACATCTTGGAAATCAAAAGTTCCCCATTTAACGTCCAATACTTGATTTGCGTGAATGAGGCAGACAAGTTATCCTACTCTCAGTTTCAGTGCAATTTGACGCAGTCCCACTTGTAATACTCCCTCCCTTTTTTTATAACTGTCGTTTAAGGTTTGTACATCAATTAAGAAAAGTTTTTCATTACTTAAATCTGTACACTACTTTCCTTTTGTACCCTCATTAATTGTCCAATTCATCCATGTTTTCTCTCACTAGAGTACTAAATGATACTGTTTTACTAGGCCAAAAGTAATGTAAACTAACTCCTACCAAACCAGAAGTAGTAATTAAGAACCCTGTATTGAAAAAGAGAGATAAAAGGGTAAAATTGTGAAAAAATAATTAATATTGTATGGAGATAATAAAACGACAGATAAAAATACACTAGAGCAAATTTTTTAAACGTCAGTTATAAAAAAAATGGAGGGAGTAATAGACAAGCAAGGCAGGGCAAAGCTAGACTTCTCATCTTTTTTTCTTTCTTTTTTTTAACTGAAATGATTGGATTTTGTTAATAGAGAATTAATTTGTATAATTCTTGAGCAAATGCTCATGTTGAACTTTACAATCGCGTAATGTGACACGGAGGGATCCAACATTCATCATCTTGCGTTAAGCTAGCAGCATATTTGCTAATCATTCTACTTCTTGTATTACTTTCATTTGAGAACAAAATAAATGAGCATTTCAAAAACAACAAGCTGAAGCTTTGGATGCCCTCCAAATGAGCAAAAAGTCTGGCATGCCATGCTTGGATTGCTTGTTTTCGTTCGAAAATATTATTGTTTTCCGTGATCACATTTCCCTATCAACTTTTTCCCTCACATATATCAAATCGCTACAGTAATTTTTCTATGAAAAATGACGGAAAATGCAATCCAAACATCTTCAGAAGATATAGCAGCTTTGGTGATGAAATTTCCTGCCGGTGCATATAGTACATATGGAGGACATTTACAGTTGTAGCTATTAAATTTACCGGTTAAAATCTTTTACGCTTGTTGGTTGACTCATAACTGAGAGAGAGGAGGAGGAGGAGGAGGAGGAGGAGAATAACATGAATCACAGCAGCAGCTCCTAAGGCATCAGCTTTTTGTGTCTTTTCTTTGTTCTTTTAGTTTTTCCGCCTCTGAATAAAACTTTAAGGCATCAATCAGTCTACAAAAGCAATACTAGCTTACTAGCAAAGAGGATCTTATCAACGATAACTTGAGCTCGAACCATTCGGTGTCGTTAAGGTATAAATTCGTTGCTTAGAACTTTGTCAGCGAGTAGTATTTTGACAAATTGCCTGCCAAGTAAAATTAGAAAAAGGTCCTGACAGGGCACAAGAAAGAAAAAGTTAAAAAGGAGATGAAGAACTGCAATCTTGATCTCATTCATTGTGAAAGGGAATATGGTACCTCATCCGACAACCTCAAATTCATACCCCACCGGCTATACAAAGCAGGGACAAATCAAAGCTATTTTTGATTCTATCATCAAAGAAGAGGATAACTCAGATAATATGATCTCAGGTCTAAATCAACTGCGGATGATGACTCTTAAAGCAAACCCATGCACAGGTTCAAAATGTGCAGCCTGTATAAGCTGCATTTAAGGCGTTCACCATTTTTTGTTTGTTTGTTTGTTTTCAAAAGGAAACCTCCGTGTAGCAATTATTATTATATTTTTTATAATGCGTGCCACAATGACGATTGATGATACTCTTTTTTCAGATTTACTGGGCTTGCATTTAAACACTCTCTCTCAATTGAGCTTCATTAAAGGAACAAAAAAAAAAATACACATGATATCTATCTTATAGTTCAATCTGAGCGTTGAACATTTAACACCTTCCTCTTAACCGAAATCAAATCGTTGCTTCAATTTCTCGATTAAAAAACAGGAGAAGAAAAAAAGAGGATGAGGAGGAAGAGATAGCAAACTTATAAATTAGTGCAGAGGACCCGCAAGATTGGTAGACCAATTTCCTCGTAGTCATTATCAGCTTGTCGGGGAAAGTTTCTCATTTAAGAGTTTCTTAAAGGGGGGATTTGGAATGGAGATTCTTCAGCATCGACTCGACTCGACTCGACAGCAGCCCTTAACGGTACTGCATAGACCTAACACAGAATTCAGAAGTGCAACCAACGTCAGAAAGAACCGGATGCAAAATTCAACAGGCGACATTTTCACGCGCCACAAACATGGATGTAAAATTAAATGTAAAATCGCTAATGGCCGACTGATCGAATGAATGAGTCACGATGTACCTCCTGATCAACATCTCGAAACAGGTTCGGATTAAAGAAAGAAACCAGATGGCTAGCAGAAACTTATTGCCGTTTGCCATGCAGAACACAAAGGCCAGGGATGAGTTGGTCCGCTCGCAAGTAAAAGTTAGGCTTTAAGATTTAGGAGGAATTCATTAAAAATGCCTGTGAAATCCAATAGCGCCTAGAATTGGTGGTCCTTCAAGTGTGGGCAAATCATAAAGGTCATAAATTAAGCCCGAAAACGGCCTAACCACGTTAACTGCTCTTAATTCTCTCGGTGACTACCATACTTTTTTGAGTGAAATATGAACCATAGGCCGGTAGATAAGATCCATTGAGCAAGCAGGTTTCATTTCATATGCCACAAAACATGCTTCCTATGGGCAATACTCCGCAAAATAAACTCCTAAACCAACCCCAACGGGTCAACAATCACAAAGCACTCAGATGCGAATTACGTGTTAAGGCTACTTTTGTGCAGCTTACAAAACACATTATTATCTTTGGTTCAACCCAAACTTTCCGGTGCATCTCCACGGATACATGCATTTTGCAAATCGACACCAAAATCCCGCAGAGAGGACAGAGATGTTCGCTGGAGGGCTAAGCAAGCAATCTCTTCTCACAGTTGGTTAGATAACTACAACCTGAACTTGCACCATGCTCGTTGACTACACGTTCCCTAGTTGATAATAAAAGTTTTAAGACTGTAACCATTCATTTGAGCAAAAACCACCTTCCTGTCCGGACAAAATTTCGGAGAAATTATTGAGTGTGTTTGGACAGCCAATTATTTGGCCAAATATATTTGCTGACATCACCATTACAATTTTCAATACACTTTTTTATCTTCCCAATTACCTTTTTATCTCACATACATCACATCACAAAAAGTGCTACAGTAAAAATATTTCAAATAACTTACAATCCAAACACACTCATTATGACTTAACACGCGAATCCTAATAGAAACCCCAACACACAATTCCATTCACACAACACTGGCGAAAGACAGACGCCACATGTTGAATCAATAGTAAGCATGCCACGTTTGAAGGATCTGATCGTTCACGGTTATCACTTAAAATATGTCCAGAAACCATAATAAAAAGAGACTGCTACGACAAATAAACAAAGGCGAGCCAAAAACCCAAAAACAAGTCAAAACCAAATGGTGCCATGGTCTTTAGTATATCAAAAAATGGAAAGTCATGAGATACGTCAACTTCATAAAAACATCGAGAAATCAAAATCAAATGTCCCACAAGCTAATTTTAATATATAAGATTCCTGAAGACAAACATCAGTCTTAATCAAAGAGACTGAAACCCATATCATCATCAGACTCCTCTGCAGGTTCTTCTTTCTTCTCTTCCTCTTTGGCAGCAGCAGGGGCAGCACCTGAATCAGCAGCCGCAACTGGAGCTGCAGCAACAGCAAATTTGCTAGGATCCTGCATAACATTTTTTATGAAAAGAATAAACAATCAACAAAACAGAAAATAACAAAAAAAAATTCAAGCCACTAAATGTCCATTGAGGGAATAAAATACATACCTCAAGGTACTCCTTCACCTTATCAGCCTGTGGGAAGGAATAATCTGTCTCGACAGCAATAGCCAACACATTCTTGTAGCCATTGATGAACATATGTGGTGCAGCAGCTAGGGTTGGGTAAGAGATGGCCAATGACAATGAAGTGACCATGGAGACTCCCAGAGCAAATTTCTCAATGAGATCATCTTCTGTCAGATCAAGCACCTCAGGGCTGAAAACAGATCCATTATCATAAACAGACAAGACCACAAGCCCATAAGAGAAGGGCCTAATCCCAAGCTTGGCAAGCAGAGCAGCTTCAGAAGAACCTACTTTGTCACCCTTCCTGATGAGCTCCACAGGTGTAATAATCTCAACAGTACCCTTGTTAATCTTGGTGGGAATGTTGAGAACCTATAAGGTAATACTGTCGGAAAACAATGTTTTGGGCTGACAATCTAAAATTCAATTTAAATAGGTAAAACAAAGACCTGGAAGAAAGAAGTCTGGGATGGATCAAGTCCAGTATTTCCAGGTGGGACCACCACATCAACAGGAGCAACCAAACCAACACGAGCAGGAGCTCCAACCTGTTAACAGCAACAACAATGTAAAGATGTTTTTAGCAAAAATAAACAGTTGGGGTTGTTGGTTTTTTTTTGGGGGAGAGAACACAAGGAAAGAAGAACACGACTTCAATTCCATATCCAATTAAAGAGATACTAAACTTGAGATCTCCTACTTTAAAATCGAGTAAACATCTTAATCAACATGCAAGTGATTTCTAGGATACTAGGCGCCAAGCTCATCAGCAAACATAAACACATTGAAATACACAACATTTTGAGGTTATTAACAAACTTTACACAACTCTCCTAATCTGCTACCTTTCAACACACTCATATTTAGAGTCAACATCAAGTAGCAGCGTTAAAATATAATCAGCTCTTGTTGAAAAAAATTGGATAAGCCACTAAACCAATAACAATAACAAGACTCTCATATGACATAATATCCAAAAGTGAGCTGTAAATATGACAATAAGCAAAAGTGAGCCATAAAACATTCCTACACGTAAATGCTTCTAAAATAGTGTTAGTAAAGCTTAAACATCTCTTAACATAAGCAACATCAGTGACGAACCACTTAATTTGCACTCAATGATCTCTCAGGTACAACAAGCACAACATGAGACTTTTGTGTTTCTCTTTGAATCACAGATGGAGACACTCAGATTTGAACCTCAAGCAATGACAGAAACTTTTAAGCACAAAATGCATATATCCATAATCACGCACAAAGGTAGATTAGCAATTTATAACACCGTAGCATTACCAGGACAGCCAGGTAAAGACAATCTACTACACATATACAGCAGGAAGTGCAGGTATATTAGCAGTCCACAACTATGCATATGGCATCCCCTAAACATTTAGTTACTTGCATATATTGTTCTATAGATAGTCGGTGGCACAATTATAACGTTCATGTTTGTCCAACATACAAACAAATTTATGCTTGCTTTTACGAGGAAAATTACATAAAACAAGAATACCATGAAAATCAGAACAAACATAGCAAAATTGACAAATAATCCAATGCGAACCCAAAAAAATTATTAAATAAATAAATTCTTTCACAAACCTTATATTTGGCAACCTCCTCACTGATTTCCTTCAAGTCACCCTTGGTAAAGATCAACCCAACATTTCCCTGTCACCACCAAAAAGATAAAAGGTATCAACAAAAATACATTCCATACGGTTCAAGACTGCCAAAGATAATCGCAACTCTACATCACAAAAAAAAAATTTTAAAATTTTTAGAAAAAATGAACTTACAACAAGGAGAGGGATAAGGTTAAGGATAGCTTGATTTCCAGTCTTCTCAGCATGGACTCTAATGGTCCTTTTCATCATGGTATTCTTTCCCATCAGCACAATAGAGTCGCCTCTCAGACCCTTCCTGATATTCTGGAGCTGATTCGACCCAACGTTATCAGCCACCGCTATCAGAACCTGCGAGTACTCATCCAGAAGCTGGCAAAGCTTCTGGTCATAAGCGATCTTCTTATCAGCCTTTGATACCTTGGTAACCATGTTCGCAAAATCTCACTTTTTCTTAACTCTCACAAAAAATAAAATAAATCTAAACTTCTATTGCTAACTATTTTACAGTTAGCAATTTTACAGTTACAGCTAAAACCCTAGATACGAATTGAAGAGATTTTCCTTTGCGTTTTTGGGGAGTGGCAAAAATGAGGGCCAAGACGAAGCTTTTAGTGCTCGATCAAGGCGGACAGCGACGGTGCCGTCACTTTAACCTCTTCGATTCAGATTTGGGGTTTTGGGGGAAAACTGTAGAGTGCAAAACCCAGAGATTTTGCGATGTAGACGGAGAAGAGTGTTTTGGGTTTATATCTGGGGATTGAAGAGGATGACCTAAATTGGACGGTGGGATTATAGGGATTGTATTAGATCGGAGGGCTGCTATTCCCTCTCACTAATGTGGTATGGACGGGCTACCTATAGTGGGCTAGATGGGTTGAGCAAATGATGATGTGATTTCTGAATTGTTATGTTAAGATTATGGGCCAGTTCGATGCTTGGGACCTTTTTTAAAATATCCAAGTCTCAGCGTCTTTCAGGTCCAATCATAAACACTGGCTCCATTCACAACTCTAAATTCTGTCCGCTTCTTTTCTGGCCCAGGAGAGTCATGCTAAATCTTGGACTACCAGATGAGGCGTTAAGAGCCTGTTTGACCTTTTAAAAGTTCAAAATCACACATTATCTAAGTAATAAAAAAAGTATTTATTTAAGCATGCATCCAAAATGACATGCTTATGCACTTAATACTGAGTACTTCCATTGAAAGCCATATTAGGTGAAGTACTTTTCTTCGATTAGTCATCGCAAAACCCAAACGCACGCTAAATCTAAGGTATTACTCTTTAATTTAAGAGTTGATTTGAACACAAGCATGTACACCGACAAAAGTCACAAAACCCCATTTTATCTAGGAGAAACATGGGCATCACAAGATTCTACTCTACTTGTCCTGTATCTTCTCTCTATTGAGTGCCAGCCATTATCACCAGAGCCAGCCATCACAAGAAAACTTGCTTTTACATTTCAATTGTTAAGACAAAATTACCATTACTATTTTCCAGCTTCCTCTTTCATATAAATCACTTTTGCATAGTTATTCTATGATTCGTTTTTATCCTCAACTCCTGTTGTAATTATTTTCTTAATTTTGCTTTAATTTCTAAAAAAACCACGGAAGTTTGAGCAAGGGATGGAATTGGTGTTTTCATGCGAGGTTTTTTTTAATCATGTTGTTTCATTGTTAAGGAAAGGTTTTGGTCATGATGCAAAGCATGATATAAGGTCCGGTATTGACACCCCAACCACAAGCCACGCTATCGAAAAATTAAGCAGACAATATATACATATATATATTTTTGATAACACGATAGATTTCATATTTTACTTCTACTCCTATTTTATATTAAGAGGGGGGATATGCCCACATGAACTAAGGAGAATTCGGAGAGGATTGAATTATTATCTGACAAAACGAGTGCATTTGCACCCATTGATAAAAATTTCAGGATTAGGAAAGATTGGAGTAGTAACAAGTAAGGTAAATGGCAGACACCCGAATTCATGATGATCCAGTCTCGATTTGCATGATAGATGTCCTTGAACGTGATATGGTGCGACGATTGAAGTGACCGGCGAAAGATTGATAGGCATTGATTCTTGGAAGTATCCCACTAAGGCTCCAGAATCACAAATACACCTCCAGGACCTTGATGCATCATCGCTCACCAGATCGGATCACGTCTCCCCAGTAGGCAGACATCTCACACACCCCATTATGATTTGTGCAGCAACAACAAAAATGCCCTAAATTTGTTCAAAACAACTGTGTTTCCATGTGATTGCAGGTCATCTTTTCCTGTCATGATCCCATATTCATGCTCAATGTCCTCTACTTTAACGTGTTTTTTTTCTTATTGTTCTTTTGTTTGTGTTTTACCATTTCATTTTGAAGCAATGACAGTAGTATACAGTGATGAAATTGGAGGAATATGATCTAAGACCCGACCGAATAGATTGTGAGCAGGCAGTCAAAGAGATGAGTCCTTGAGAGGATGTAACGTAAGCGTTCTATATTACTAATTAGTAGTAACGCACAGAGAATCGTAAGGATCACCCATTATTAATCAAATGGAATAAAGATAGATGGCCAATAAATGAGGAAGGTTTCGAGTGTCTGTCAATACCTGTTTGAAAACCACAACCATCAACCAAAATGCTTGCATGGATTGAGACACAAGTTCATCACTTATTAACACGCATCAGGCCATCAGCGTAATAATACACAGACCGCGTGAGGAATTAAAGTCTGAGCGGTTTTGTTCTTCTTTTGTGTTACGTGTTGTTCTTTCCCATCCTATGACATAAAATCAGACAGTTTACGAAATCAAATGAATCGCTCTTTAACACTTCAGCTTTGCCAGCAGCTATATCTAAGGTACAAGTCCTTCAATTGCAAGCGCCAGTATTCATCAATTCCTGAATTCTAATCCTGCGTAGATGGTTAGTTTGTTTGGCAAAATAGGAAGCCGTCTACCACAAGTAAAAAAAAATGTGAGAGTTGGCTCTCAATTTGGTTTTGTCATCAGATCTTCACTTATGAAACCTGAAAAGATGATATATATATATATGGTTTTCGAAATTTCTTTTACTTGCCAATAGCATTTGGAGGGCTGTCACAAGCATACTGACCAAATTAGCGAGAAAATGGTCAGCTGCTTGGTTTCCTTCTCTGCTTTAGAATTTAGAACGACTAACTAATTAAGTTCAAAAGGCTAAATTAAGTTTAATGAACAATTAAACCAAAGACAGTGTACAAAAAACTGAAACGAAAATTCCATGTCCCAAATGGTGCTATTTTTGATTCTATATGTTTATGGCAAGCACCTGAAAGGAAGTGTCAATAGGATTTCCCTAATCCCCCCTTCCCGAAAGGAAGAGCATGAAATTCTTTTTTCCTTCCGCAGGAACCGAGAGATTGGATCTAACTGTAAGAAGAATGCTTGGTATAAATAACTCACTTCTTGGTCTTCGACCCCCTCAGTCACTACGAAAGCCCCCGATCAGTGCAATGGGATGTGTCTATTTATCTCTTGACTCGAAATGGGAGCAGGTTTGAAAAAGGATCTTAGAGTGTCTAGGGTTGGGCCAGGAGGGTCTCTTAAGGCCTTCTTTTTTCTTCTCATCGGATTTATTTTACAAAGACTTGTCAGAGTAAGGAAGAAGGGGGAACAAGCACACTTGGAGAGCGCAGTACAACGGAGAGTTGTATGCTGCGTTCGGGAAGGATGAATCGCTCCCGAAAAGGAATTTATTGATTCTCTCCCAATTGGTTGGACCGTAGGTGCGATGATTTACTTCACGGGCGAGGTCTCTGGTTCAAGTCCAGGATGGCCCAGTTGCGCCAGGGAAAAGAATAGAAGAAGCATCTGACTACTTCATGCACCTACATCTGACGCAGTGCATATCTGATTGGGATGGATTATCAAAATGGTGGCATACCCATCAATGAATCCAACGTCCAGTTGAGTCATCGAATTGTTCTAAGACGTGACAATCCATATTTGAAGTGGAATATCTGCTAGTTACAAATGGTATGCTGCTTCTAATCATTCACATTAATCCCATTAGCATTTAAACAAAAACGGTGGGGTCTAAAGGGAGGGTGGAAAAGAGCAAGTCCTAGGATGCTCATCAAGAAACTAATAAACCCTCGTGGGATGGGGTTTATCTGGAACAGATTCTCTCAATAAAAAAAGTCTTTAACTTTGTTCCGCCAATCAACCTTCTGGGGGAAAAGGAGAGAAAGTGACATTTGAAGGAAAATCCAGCCGGATAAGTTAACTCCATAAAGAGCAAAGCTTACAAATCTCAACTTTAAAACGTACCAGAATGGCTTTTGAAGGTGTGGTGATTTTGCAAAGCAAATGTCTTTCTTTTCAATGCATTAAATTTTTTCAATTGTAAATTGTACTACATTTTATTCGTGGGAACGACGATGGATTCCTTCTAATCATTATTGAATGGACCACCATACACATGCAAACATAAAGTCATGCTGATACCCATCCTCAAGCTGTTCTGATCACTCTTTAAGAGTCTAGTCTAGGCTCGTAGTACATATTTTAGCTGAAAGAATATGTGAAAAAAATAGTACTTAATTGCTTTTATGCAGGTAACTGAGTACCACGCAGAATCATCGTTCAAATGTTCCATTTTTGAGTTTGGGTCACTAACACTTGCCTGAATCGGAATAGGTTCGGTTCTGTGAGAACCTCCCCCTTTCAATGTCCAAGTCCATACTCCAAACCGAAGAGATTCTTATGAAATATCTAAACTAGTACTTTTTTTTAACATGGGATCCTAAAACGGTCGTGACATCAACTACATATCCTCTTAATTAAGCAGGTTTGTCCAACTCAAAATTGCGGAGGTTTGTGTGAGGATACTAGAGTTATGGTGTTGTAAACCTTCAAACTTCAATAATTTAGCCTATAATCCCAAAGGGTTTCAGTCGATCGTACGTGCTCGTGCCCAGATGGTTACGCCAAAATTACTTCTTGCCATTTTCGTCTGAACAAATTTTCTACAGATCCTGCATTTTTTTTTATGTAATCGACTTGGTACTTTTAACCTCACAAATGTGAAATTCTATTCAGAGTCTCGAGTCCAAATATGTTTTTGATTTGGTTTCGCTCTAGGGATTCTACACCTTACATGTCTAATGGAGAAAGAAAGGGGAAGCAGTGAATCAGAGACCTTATGAATTGCCTTAGTAATTTGACCATCGTTTTTTGAAGAACTAATTAATGGGTCGAAATTAGAAGAATGGTTCTAAGGTTTGAATTGTTTGTAACGCACTTTACCTTAAAAGTTTTAGAGCTTTTTTTTTTTTTTTTTAAAAAAAAAAAAAAAAAAAGTGAGAGGATTCGAATCTGGATTATTTTCTACACTCCCTCTTTCAAGTTATCTAATCTATCTCCCCAGAAGCCTTAAAGTTTACACATCAGTTATAGCATTGTGTCGATCATGGACATGCCTCGAGGAGTGAATAACATACTAGTAGTATTTGATTATGATCCGCTCAATTGAGTAAAAGAAGTCAACAGAAAATTGAGAGCTAGGTTAATGGGGGATTAATCAAAATTACTACTTTAGGGCTCGGCTGCTTAACTACTTTTTTTTTTTTTTTTTTGGTCTAACCACCCGGTATCCCTTTCGGACTAATCCGGATTCAGCCCGGGGAGCGCCCGTAGAGTTTGACTCTTACTCGAGGGTGAAGACCTGGCCCTGGAGTT